TAGCTAGGAAAATTCTAGAAATTCTTTATTATGGAGCTGGGGATGCAGCTCAGCTCAGTGGTAGAGCCTTTGCCTCACATCCACAAGACCCTGGATTCAATCTGCAACATAGAAAAAAATTATTTTTTTTTCCAAAATTTTAGTTAGGTATAAGAATGGTCACTTCTGTACTGTTTATAGCAGTGAAAAACTGAAAGCAAATTAAATCTCCAATAATAAGAATCTGGTACAGTACTAAGGCATTTAGTACTATATTTTGAAGCTATTAAAAGTGACTATGAGAAAAATGTAAGAAAGAAAAAATGCTCATGATACATTGGTAAAAGAGAAAAATAGACTGATTCTTCTCTCTCTTTCTCTCTCTCTCTCTCTCTTTAGTTTTTGTTTTTTGCTATCTGCAGGATGTTAATAATGAATATCTCAAAATTGTGCAATTATGAGTAATTTTTCCTCTTTATCCCCCTTTTCTATTTTTAATACTTAGTAAATTTTACTCCTATTTTCCTGTTCTTATTTCTCTTTCTTTCTTTCCCCTTTTTTTAATATTTGTGTTTTCAACTTAGGTACTTTTCAAATGATAAAATAGCGAGGCTATTTCTATAAGCATTTTGACTACATTTTGTAGATATAAACGGCCATGGAGGAAGCCTCAAAGCCTTTCTGTAGACACTGGTCTATGGGGTTTTGCAGCAGGTCAGGAGTTTGCTCTGCCTTATATCTGTGCCATTGTAAGCCCCTGGCTCTTTGGGGTTATTTACTGGTTCCTCCTCATTCCTGTCTCCTTTGATCCCTTTCTTCTTCTTCTTCTTCTTCTTCTTCTCAAAACTACAATACATTGTTACTAATTATACAGTAGGTCTCTTGAAATAGTTCCTCCTGTCTGAAGTTTCACACCCTCCCAGCCTCTCTGGTGGCTATCATTACTCTCTGAGCTTGACCTGTGAACATTTTACACATAAGTGAGATTATGTACAGTGTTAATCACTGTTTCACCTCACATAATGTCCTACAAATTCGTCCATATTGTCACAAATAACAGGATTTCCTTCTTTTTAAGGCAGAATAGTATATCACATTTTCTCTCTCCGTTTATCCATTGATAGACACTTAGGTTGGTTCCCTATCTTGGCTATTGTAAATAATGCTCACACTTTTTTTTTTTGCTACATTTCCTACAATATTTATATTATAATGTTTATAATTTTTTTTAAAGAATGAAGTGTCTGTCCCTCTACTGGCTGTTCCACAGGTGAAGATTTCGGTACAGCCAGAGCTATTAGGACAAAGTGTAAGCCTGAACAGGTAGCACCCCATTTCTTGGTCCTACTCCTCAAGTTTTTCAAGAAGGGGAGAGAAATGAGCAGTTTTGTTTTTCCATTAGAATGGCCATACTGGCTGTTCAAATACGGAAATACCCTGCTCTAACTCATCCATCACCCTCTGCCTCACCCTTTTAGTCTTTCTTATTTTAACAGGCAAGCTGCAGAGTGAGATCTTAGCAGGTAAGAGAAATGCCCTCACCTCTTCATACCTGCGGGAAAACCGTCTGAGCCCTAGTTGCTTGGGCCCCCTTCTCCTTACCTCAGAGCTGAGCACTCAGAGCCAGGGAAGGGAAGGGTATGAAACCTTATACCTGCGTTCCACGCTGTCCAGGTTGTCCCTCCGGTCCTAAGTCTCCAGGAACTCCAAATTCCCCCTAATAAATGAAGTACGAAGAGCTTCAGATTGATAAATCAAACCTGGCTCTCACAGAAGGAAGTCTGACCCCTGGGTGGAAGGACACAAAGTTCTCAGTGAGCACTCAACACTCAGTAGGAGGGGCTGTGTAGGACACACATAATGATCTTTCCAAAGGAGAGAGGAAATAGGCATGACCTAGGGCTGGACTCAAGTACTACTTTCCCAGTACTATAAAAGGACCAACAGAGAAGGAAAAGAGCAGAAATTTCAACTTTCGGGGAGAGTTGATTCATTTGCTAATGTATGTCCCATCCCAAAATTGTTTCTTTTTTATAGACAGCTAAGTTAGATAGAAATTAATAAGCAGTCAGGAGGGATTGGGCCCTAAAGGAAGTAAGCACAAAAAATAAAGACATCATATTGTGTACTTAAAATGTCCCAATATACTTAATGAATTAAAAAAATAAAGACATCAGAATTGTGGCTAAAGGTGAATCTGAAGACAGCCAGTCCTCCACACTCAGGCCTGTAAGAAAATAGCAACTTCAGATTATACTATGTTTAGCATCACCTGGCCCAGGAGGCCCTGATAAGCATCAGATGCATAGGTGGGTGACCAGAACATCTGGACCCATACTCCCATCCCTTTCCAAGAATTCTTTTTTTTTTTCCAGCTTTAACTGCGTTTATTGGTACATTTTAAGGATACAGTACAGTTACATTCATTGTTGGGATCTTGTACCTCTACATGACAAGTCTTGATTCTCATTTTTCCCCTTGTCCCTGCCCTCCCTTCACCCCCTCCTCCCCTCCCCATCTACAAACACTTTATTTTCATCTTTTCATTCTCTCACATTTTTTTTCTTTTCCCTTTTTACTCTTTTAATCTTTCCATATATCCTTGCTATGTGACTCATTTCCCTATTGGATCAATATTTGCTAAGCAACTATACTTGTAACCCCATAGGCTGATTATAGTTTACCCACACTGCACCCACACTGTGATTTTGCTGCATAAATTACCTCTGACAAAGGGCCTCAGTGGCGACCCACTTGCAACCCTTCCTGGAAAGCCAGGAGCTCTTATTTCCAATAAAACTCTCCTAACTTTTTCCTTTGGATTGCAACTTCATTCCTCAATATTGTGAGATCATGAACTTGGCACATTTGACATCTACTAGGTTGGAAGCTCAATTTTTTCCTGTATCATTCTCATAGAAAATAAACTATTAAATATGATAGATGCGGTCCTTCCCTCATTGAGCATAGTCTAGTTTAGAAAGACAAATAACTAGATAGGAAATTATATTAGTGTGTGATCAAGCTTGTGGTGCCATGGGAGTAAAGGCAGGGGTCCGGGTCTAAATTAGATTTGTGGGCCTAAGGAGCCAGTTCAAGAATAACAGAGGACAAACTCACTCCTAGATCCTTAACCTGTTAGTATTAAAAGCATGCTTTGCATATTCCTCTACGGCAGATAGTATTGTGATTTATATCCCAATGTCTCACCTATTCAGAGGCAGGGCTTTGGAAGGTAATTGTATCATGAGTGGATCTTCATCAGTGGATTAACACAATGATGAGTTCATACTTGAATATGCTGTTAGGATGTAGGGCCTGATTGGAGGTAGGTCTCTGCGGGCATGACCTGGAAGTGTGTGTTCTTATCCCTGGCTTCTCCTTCTTCCTCTCTCTCTCCACTTCTGTGCCACCATGAGGTGAGCAGCTTTCTTCCATAATTCCTTTACCATGCTATTCCTACCTTAGAACCAGCTGACCATGGGCTAAACCCACTGAAACCACGAGCTAAATAAACCTCTCCCCCAAGTATTTTGTCTGAGTGATGGGAAAGTAACTAATACAAGCTGGTTTTGCCAAAAATAATGACTCTCCTCTTGGGCCTACAGAGGCCCCATAACTAACAGCAGAATAAAACTTAATTTTCATTTTGTTCTTAGTTCTATAGATGGACATACTAGTCATTTAGGGAGTATTGATCTAAAAGGTGGCAAAACAGGACTTTTCAGCCCTAAATTTATCTCTCCCATTGCACTGCCGATCAAAACTGAGAACACCAGGATAAGAAATTTACAGACACTTTATTACACTCAGAGGTCTACATTTTCCTACACTAAGGGTCACCTTGGATTCCTGCAGAGCCTCACAAGATAGGGACTGTCCTGAGCAAGAGCACCTACCTCATGAAAACTGAACTAACCCTAAGGTCATGAGGCTTCCTCCCAAACTCGGGACTGACATAATGATTCACTGAACTCTAATCCACAACAGCATCCCATGAAATGGATCCTGTTCTTCATTACTTGGTCAGTCTTATCCTCTTCCTCAGATTGTGCTCCCTCCAGCTACTCAAGCTGTAGTCCTTTCCCTATTTTCTCTTACTTCCTTTTGCATAGGGCCCAACTCGATATTTGTCAGCTTCTTAGGATGAAATCTTTTACTATTTTCTCTTACTTTTTTTTAAACCTTTGTCTATAAATTAATGCTATTACTTTAGATTTCATTTCCACTGCCACTAAAGCAATGACCCATCCTAGCCAGTGCCAAAGGAAAGGATCAGGAAAGCTGAGGCCCAAAGGATGTTGTGTGAGCCAGAGGAAGGAGCTAGGGAAGGTGAAGATGATCCAGGTGAGGGGAAGGCACTGGCAGAGGCAGGCCAAGCTTGCAGAGGGGCCCAAGCGGAAAGTCTTAGAATTAAGCAGTGCAGATAGCAAAGAGCCTGGAAGCGACTCATCCATCCTTTCAGCTTTATGGATGTGAAACTGACAACTAAAATCGTGCATGTTTAACACATTCCCACTGGTTTATACCACTGGTGCTGCAAGCATGACTGTCCCGTCGGGCAGCTTATACCACTTGTTAAGACTGTCTCATGCCGCATGACAGGACAGTCATGCATGTATCACCAGTGATTATGAGCCACCCAGCAGACAGACAGACATACAAATTACAGCCCCATGATGGACATGTGAAGGATGCAATGTGATACATACTTATCTTGTGAAATAATTACCAAGTTAGTTCACATAGCTACTGCTTTAACTTAACAGTCTTGTGTGTGTGTGTGTGTGTGTGTGTGTGTGTGTGTGTGTGTGCGCGCGCGCGCGGGGGCGTGTGCGCACTCTATGGGAAAAACATTTAAGATCTACTCTCTTAGTAAAACTGCAAGTATACAATACAATATTATGCACTAGAGCCTCCATGGGGTACATTTGCTCCCAAAACTTACGGATCTTACTACTATCTTAAATTCTGAAGATTTTTATTTTTGAAGGGCCACAGTGAAAAGAAAACCTGTCTACATAGTTTGCTGGGCTCCATGTAAAGGGAAAACTTAGGCTCTTTGCTCAGACATCATGAGTTTTAAGAACTTGGCAACACAGAATTAAACCAAACAGAAGCCCCTCACAGCAAGACCTCTATAACTGCACAGACCTGAGGCTCCTGAGTCTGGGCCCAGAGAGGGAGCCCTTGAAAGTGTTTTAGCAGGGGAGTCAGATTCTGATGAGACCAATAGTTTGCTCTCTGACAATGTCCAAAAGAGCTACCTCAGTTGTGGTGGGCTGAGTCAGACAGACAATGGCACATCACAAACTGAGTTCTGCCACCACCCACCCTACCCAATCAGCTATCAAGCATATTCCTGCATTTAGTAATCAAGGACTGGTGGAGCTATCTCAGCATAATTTCCCGGCAAGTGAGATCACCACTTTTCCCAGGAAAATGGGGAAAGTTTTTTTTCTGGAAAGGTAAGCACTTAGAAATTCTTTGTTCAATGAAAACCCAGACTGCATGGGAAGTACTACAAAGAATCAACAACTGGGACTTCATCTTATTGAAAAGCTTTTGCACAATAGAAATCACCAAGAGAGTGAAAAGACAACCCACAGAGTGGGAAAAAATTTTGCCAGTTGTTCCTCAGACAAAGGATCAATATCTAGACCATACAAAGAATTGAAAAAAATCAGTCCACCCAAATTTAAAAACCCAATTCAAAAATGGGCATCTCATATGAATATATACATCCTAGATGAAGAAGTTAAAAACAGCAAATAAATATGTGAAAAAATATTCAACATCACTGTTCATTGGTGAGATGCAAATTAAAACAACACTGAGATTTCATCTCACTCCAAAAAGAATGGCTGTTATCAAGAAATCAACCAACAACAAATGCTGGCTAGGCTGTGGGGCGAAAGGAACCCTTCTCCATTGCTGGTGAGAGTGATGCAACCACAGTGGATATTACTCAAAAAACTAGTATTAAAGGTACCATTTGTCCCAGGTATTCCCCTTCTACGTATCTTCCCAAAGGAATTTAAAATATCGTACCACAGCAAAACATGCACACCCATGTTTATAGTGGCACAGTTTGTAATTGCTAAATTTTAGAAACAGTACAAATGTCTATCAACTAATGAATGGAGTAAAAAATTTGTTTTTTATATAATGGAATACTACTTAGCCACAAAGAATAAATGAGACATTTTTAGGTAAACAGATGCACCTTGAGAACATACTCTTAAATGAAATAAATTGAACACATGAAAATGTCACATTGCCTCTCTGGTGTGAGAAATTGAAAGTGAAAATAAAGACCAAAAAATATTGCAAAAGAGGAAGAAGTTGTTCAGAATTATAAAGAATGTGAAATACTTTGTGAATACTTAAAATGTTTTAAGCAAAAAAAGGTATTGTATTATTAGGAAATTAGATTAGCAAATTAAAATATATTCTTTTTAGATCATGATACACACGGTATTTACCATTGTTAATCTCTAATCATTTTTGCTTTCATATAATGGCTTTTATATTTTCTTTATTAATATCTACTTGTAATATATCAAAATAAATTTTTAAGAAGAAATTCTTCATTCAATGAAAGAAAAAGGTATTACTAGAATGTTCATGGTGTGTTGCTAGTGTGTGGATTCATTCATATGAAGAATTAACATGGAAATCAGGGAGAAGACACAGGCATTTTCTTTCTTGATATTTGAAGTCAACATTTACCTTTCTCCCCAAATGTCCAGGTCTTCCAATGCTCCCTTTAGGTCCCACTAGCCCAGAAGAACCCTGAAAACCAAAAAAAAAGAGGCTGATACAAAAGTGTTTGTAGATGGAGAGGGGAGGAGGGGGTGAAGGGATGGCAGAGGTAAGGGGAAAAAATGAGAATCAAGACTTGTCATGTAGAGGTACAAGATCCCAACAATGAATGTAACTGTACTGTATCCCTAAAATGTACCAACAAACTCAATTAAAGCTGAAAAAAAAAGTTAATGGTACAAGTCAGCATGGTGGCTCATGTCTGTACTGCCAGCAGTCTGGGAGGCTAAGGCAGGAGGATTGCAAGTTCAAGTCCAACCTGGGCAAATTAGCAACTTAGTGAGACCCTGTCTCAAATATGAGAAAAGGAAAAAACAGATAAGGAGAGGCAGAAGGGGTTGAAGGGAGGGCAGAGGAATGGGGAAAAAGATAAGAACCAAGACATATCATGTAAAGGTACAAATTCCCAATGATGAATATCATCAAATATTGTATACCTAAAATACACCACCAAACTTAATGAAAAAGATCAAGTATAAAAAAGGGCTGGGGATGTATCTTTGTGTGAAGGTCCTGGTTTCCACCCCCAGCACCATTAATTAATTAATTAATTAAGATAAAATGACAATACCACAGCAATTCTTAGAAGCCCCATTGGAAGTGTTTTACTTTTCTTCATCTCATTCCCAATATCCCCTTGATGCCTCCTTAAGGAGAGAGATGCAGCCACCCAGAAGAGCAGGCTATCTGGCTGAGTTGGGTGACTCAGGCTACCGTCCTAGCTAAAAGGCCATGGGCCTGCACTTGGCTGGTCATCACTAGTCCACATGGGGCTCCCTTGCTGTTGTATTCAAAGGTACAAAACTTGCTACAATGCACTGATTCTATTAGAACAAAACACTTTGCTGCTGCCAGCTCTGTGCACAACACTACAGACACATCTATGTCGCCATGCAGGATATAGTTCGGTTTCCCAGTGTAAAAGTGGGTAGAAGAGTCATCCACACACCCACTAGGAAGATAAGTAAGCAAACCTAGGCATCCTCTACTCTCTGAATTCTCACTGTCTGAGTAAAACACTGAATAGATTCAGAAACTGTTTCAGGAAACAAATTCAAGTGATGCCCTCAAGAGGCAGACTCACGGATCAAATAGATTTAGGTGACACAGTCTCAGGTGTCTATGGCCAATGGAGATACACGTGCAGGGCACAAGTAATTTTTACAAGTTATAAATGATGTTTCAGGTTTCAGAGGAAATGGTCATGAATCAGCATGTGTGTTTTTTTCCAAACATTCTTTAAGCTTATGAAATGAGTCTGAGCTTTTAGAGTAAAATCCTAATGATGGAAAAAGGAGAGAACTTGGTCCAGGTATAAGGACAATGAGCTGGGCTAAAGATCTGACCCATAATAATCAAGAAAAGAGCTATTTCTGTGTCAATAATATTGAATAAATTATACTTGAATGTGTTTTACAATGAGGGGAAAATAACAATTGGGAGCCATTGACCCTAAAATGTCACTGTGTCACTCACCTGAGGTCCTTTGTGTCCCTGGCTTCCTTTTGCTCCTTTCCTGCCAGGATTTCCACTTGACCCCTTATGTGGTAATAAAGGGAATATAAGGCAATGAGATCAATGAAATTTCCTTTTTCAGTTATTGCTTTCATCCTGCCTCCATCCTCAGAGGAAAAGCAATGATCCAAACCTGCTTGCAGCCTTATAACTTTGAAATTAGCCTGCATTAGTTGAGTAACTAAGGTCAGGGCCAGACTCAGTGGTATAGACCTTACTAAGGAAATCTATGCCTAGGCATAAGACCCTCATCCTTCTCCTACAGAAAGAAATAAAAATAGATCAAAGAGGAAAACTAAAACCCATAGAAAAAGCAAGATGCAGACAACAGACCAATAGATTCCTTAGAAAGATGGTGACTTGGGTCAAAGCACTTATGAATGAATAAAATAGAGAGCAAAGTTGTTTTAAGATAGCACCAATGGACATTTTAGCAGCAAACTCCTGCCAGAAGAATCAAAGTGTAATTTTCTACCATGTTTGCCATGAAATATGATGGTTCTCATATAGCTCTTTTATATTCTAGGAGAGAAAACTCAAGAGTGCTCCTCACAACCAAAGCACCAGTTATGACATGGCTGCTGCTCCCCAGAAGCTACTGAGTAAACCTTGATTCATGGCCCAGGTATAGGATCCTGGAATTACCCCACTGCTACCCACCAACACCTGTGACTAGACCTAGGTTGTTCTATGGTTACTTAATTCAGAAGACATGGAAGCTTACAGCTTCATTCAGGACATCAAACCACTAAAAAGAATCTCAAATTTCAGTTTAGTACGAATGATCTAGAACATTCTAGAAGAAAAAATGAGTTCCCAGGAAACTCTTAGAATAGGTTCATCTATACAGACTCCAGACAGTCCAGGCTTAAAGTGAGCTTCATATAGTGTGGGCTCCATAAAGTAACTAAATGCCTATTTATAATAAAGTCATTGTCTAGGAGTGACCACATTTCCTCTCTGGCATAGAAGAGAACAGGAGAGTTGCTCTAACTTCTGGTGCCCTATCACTAATGATGTGACCATGAAAAAAATTCAAAGGACTTATATAAGTCTCTATCAATAATATTACAAAAATGATGTTCCCTGTGACTTTAGTGTTAGGTACACTGAATGATAGTTTCCAGCTCTGTACTAACTTTCCTTTGTGGGAGTCTACGTGCAGGACCTCAGTTATAGAAAATCAATTTGTTGGTGCTAATGTTAATTACTAATATAATGTTGTGATATTATATCATTCATTATTACTGACATCCATATGCAATACCAGGTGATCACAAGAGCACACCTTTAGTTTGGAAAGGCATTTCAGTGATCTGTAAATGTTGGTGCAGTTTGATGGAACAAACACACCCTTTCCCCTGATGAGAAATGCAGAATATGGTATAAGAGGGACACAGATTAAGAATCTCTCCTTTAGCAATTTTTATGCAAAGCTACTTGCCTTCTTCCCATTAGAATAATATCACATTATTTGCCTTTATTTAGGAAGTAATCCAACACACCTGTGAGCCTTGTAATCCTTCAGTTCCCTGTGCACCTCGAGGTCCAGGACTTCCCGGTTCCCCCTGAGGAATAAGAGTGTTAGTGTTAAGATTATCTTCATAGTTTACACATAGCTCCTCCCTTTGTATTATTTGCAGAAGACTTAGGCACTACTTTGCCTAGGATTTTACTCTTTCATACTGTCTAAATCAAAGGAATGGACACAAACTTGTTCCTCACCCTAATAAAAAGAAACTTCACTCTCTTACACATTGATTTCCCATACATAGGAAAGTCAGTCAAATGCAAGACATTCAACTCCGCACATCTGTTCAACTACAATATATCTGCCTTAGGCCAGACCTGCCCTGTTCTGCAAGCTGAGTTGATGGTAGCTTTATTTCCCACTGGTCAGTGATGATCACATCCAGTGATGGACACTTCCTATAACATCTTGTCAAAAGTTCCCAGCACCATCCACACAGGTCCTCTACCATCCACACTTGGTCCTCTCTGCCACAGAGGACAGGAAATAAAGGTCACTTACCAAGGCCCCCTGAGGCCCTCTGGGGCCTTCCATTCCCTGGAAGAGAAAGGGCAAAGTGTCAGTGCATCTAAATGAAGGGCCTGAGGTACACTAGCCTCTTTCATTCCCTGATTGACATAAGTAATGAGCAGCTCACAGAAAGGGTTGCCTTCAGGCACTTTTCATGAACAAGTTTTCACACTGGGCGCTTAATTTCAGGCTAACATTTGGAGATTGATTGCAAACCAATCTAAAAGTCATTACAGACTCAGCTCTAGTCTGAAAACCCCTAACAATTACCCAGGAGGCTGTTTGGAGAATCAAATTATGCTGAAGAAACTGTCTTCTACAGCAAACTCAGGAAACACAGTCTGCTAAGCAGAGGTTTCCCACAGGAAGACAACGGCAGTATATCCTTCTCCCTCTGCCCTGGACTCTTAGTTATGTCTTGGGCACAAAGGAAATTTCTAGCTACAGTGCTACCCAGGGGCTCACAGAGCTTGTCCTTGTGGATTTCTATAGGGAGGAAATGGCTGGTGGTTTGCTCCACTGGGCAGTGATACAATGCTACCACTGGGTTGATCGGGGAAGAGCCAGGCTGATCCTACAAGACCTCACCTGTTTGTGCCCAACCATAAGCCAGTTCCTGTTGCCACTCAGGACCTCTATCTGGGGCCATTTGTATCACACCCTCTCCTTCTAGAGGACAGGCAACTGGAATGGACCATTCAGACCCCAGATCCTCACCTCATGTCCCCTAAACTAAAATAACAAACTCTGGATACCTCTCTTTTCCCTTCAGAAGGCTGTGACATTCAGAATCACCAACTCACTGTGTGTTGTGACAAACAATTGTGATTACTTTAGGTACAAAATAAATACTTAAAGCAATATATTTATCCATGTGTTCGGTGAAAATTATTTTCAGAACTGCTGTTTTCTTTCAGCTGTCCACCTCCTGAAATTCCTTAAAATAAACAAATTGACCAAATTGCAGCTCCACAAAACGGTTAGACCTTCTCCACTGAGATTCAGCCCCTTGGCATATTTCCAATGATTAACATAATTACATTGTATACCTTAAATGTACCAATAAAATTGATTAATTTTTTAAAAAGAAAGCAAAGTTTGGGGCTGCTATTTCCATGCTTTTACAATTCTATCTGTACTAAAAAGCACAGATAAAATAATATTTATTTTGTGTAATAGATAGTATTGCACAATGTTGGCCTGGTTAGAAATATAACCTGAGAAGTTGGGTACTCTTGCTCTCAGCCCTGCTCTTTAAGGCATGGATGGCACAATAAACCTTACCCAAAGTGGCTCGGAGCCTAGACTCTGAAGTAGCAGTCTGAGTTCAAATCCTAGCTCCACCAATTATTAGCCATTGTGACCTTGGTCAGCATGTTGTCTAAGGTTCCTTGATTTTCTCATCTGTAAAATGGATGCAATCCTAGTGTCTACCTCATAGGTATGTTGTGGAGCTTAAAAGTGATTTGATGAGGATATGGCACAAAATAGTTACTACAGAAGCATAAATACCATTTACCAGGATTCTTTATGCATATAGACAAAAAATAAAGAGTTTCAATGCAGTTTCAAGCATGGTTTTCAATGTGTAGAGCCATCATTTTGGCAATAGCTGGTACAACAATTAAGATACACAAATTGAAATTGTGCCCCAGAGGAGGTAATGTCTTGGGTTGAGTTGTATCTTTGGAATTTGTCTACCAGCTTAGGTGCTCTGACCATCAGAGAAAATTATATCCTTCACTGGAAAGGTATGGAAAGGGGGGAGGAAAACTTAACGTTGTTTTGTTTCAATACTATCTTGCTTACTTCAGAATAAAAGAAGTTACAAGGAGATCAGCAGGGAAGAGAGAAAAAGGTGCGGGGAGGTGCTAAGAGCCTCTTGTCAGTGAGTGACTTGGAAGTCACTGGCTAGTGTGTCCAAAGTAATCCCTACCCTACTCCTGGTATCTCTTTTAAAAGCTCCCAATTAATGTGTCAGTTCTAAAATTATTTAAACTAAAAGTATTTTATCTTAAACCAACAAGACATATTTATCTTTAAAATTTATAACAGTCAGTTCATCTTGTTGCTCAATGGCTTCCTCTGTTGAACATTTTCATTCTCACAAGTAGAGGAGAGGGAAAAGTCCCAAAAATGTTAGCAGAAGCACTGGGAAGCTGTTCTCATTGGACTGTGGGCCCTTTTCCTTCAGAACTTGGGATTCAAGATAAACAAAGGCAAAAAGGATCAGAACAGTATTTCTACTATCTATCCCAGAGAGAAGGCAGCTGGCCATGGCCTTCATTTGATGAGAAGATTCCAAATTTGTCACAGAAAAGAAAGCCAAGAATCTTTAGTTCCTTCTTGGGAAAAAAAAAAGAAACTCAAGGCCAAATCTAGGACTTTGTATTTTATTCTCTTTTATTGTGCTCCAGCATGAGCACATAAAGACCATTTCTAACATCATAAATATCTCTAGCTTCAGGAGTCCACAAAGCAAAAAGTGATTTCTTAATGGTTCCTTAAAATATGAAAAGTTCAATATCCCTGTTTTGCTGAGATAGAACTATTTATCATATGGGATGCTATAAAGCTATCCTAGGACCTTGAGATGGCCAGTGTTTTGGTCCATTTAGGAAGAATTTATCTGATATTCCTCTTCCCATTGGCAACATGTAAAGAGAAAGACTATATGGTCTTTACCTGGTTCATAATATTCTTATGTAGCTCACAGATGCTAAGCTATGCTCATTGATTGTCTTCAAAGACATTAAAAAGCATCTGGAAGGTAGATAGGGAAAGGGGAACTGTATCACAGTGGTTCCCATCCAAGGGTGATTTTTCCTCCATTCCCAAGCCCACAGATATTTGGCAATATCTGAGGACATTTTTGGATGACTCAAATGGGCAGGGAGGGAGTGTGGTGCTACTGACATCCAGTGGGTAGTGATTAGGAATGCAGCTAAACATCCTGCAAGATACAAAATAGTACTCTCTGGTTCAAAATGTCAACAATGACAAGACTCAGAACCCCTGCAGATGTATCAGCCCTGGACCAGCTACCTCTGCAACAACGAATAATCCGAATGCCTCTGCATCATCTTTAAGTGATAGGGTGTAGAGGTGCTTACCCTTCTTCCTCTGGAGCTAGGACTGCCTCGTGTACCTTTATGTCCAGTTCTACCCTAGAAACACAAAAGTTCCCCCAAGATTTTAAGATAAAAGATCCGAAGTAAATTATGAAAGCATCAGCATCAAACATGAAAGTGCCATGCTACAACTATTTTTATATTAGCACTTGGCTGGACAGTCATTAAAGAAAACAAGGCATTGCAGTGTGCACTGTTTCCCAAACAATATCACTTCAAGAAAAGATTTTTCTTGTAGAAGCATAGCCTACTGAAGATATAACTTATTTTAAGATATTAAGTCTTTCTTAAACATAGACTTGAAGGTGCCTGTTCAATTACAGAGGGTTATATATTTCACTAAATTTACTTAGTCAATAATGGAATTAATTCATATAAAGTAAAGTAGATGTGATTACTTGTCTTCCTTGTTCTCCTTTGGAGCCCTTTGGTCCTTTGATGTTACTGTTTTGTCCTGGGTTACCCTAGAAGAAGATTTTTAAAGTATTTTAGACCCCAGAAATATGAATTTCTTTTGCAAAATGATACAATGTTCAAGTAACAAGCTAATGTAGGTTATAGGATAAAAAGTGTAAGAAAATTCTCCAATTAGAAACTCAGAATTTTTGAAAAATTTAAAGCAAAATTTCATCCAGTTTGAAGGAGATCTGGTGATTAATGAAGATTTATGAGTTCTTGCTACATGATAACTTTCCCTATAAAAGCAGTTCCACTGATGCAATAGTCCAAATATCATCAGGCCATTCCATCACAAGTACCATACAATTTTTCTACAATTGAGTCAACAAATAGAGATTCTCTCTATTTTAAAGATTAGAACTCTAACAAAAAAATTATGAAAAAATTTCCCCAAAGAAACTTGAAAGTCTCAACACTCCTTAAGGATTAATAAGAAGGATTGTTAATACCCAGTTCTTAACCTTTCAAATAATCAGCCCAGTCAGATCAAACACAGACAGAAATGTTTCTCAAAGAAGCCTCAGCTAACACATACTACCCCACTCCCAGGACTAACATTTGCCTACAGGTTAGCAGGAGGCACAAAAGAAAGGAGCTAGGAACAGCGCAATTGTATGATTCGGAGCCAAGTGAGCAACGGTAACTTACAGGATCCCCTAGGAAGCCCTTTTCTCCATCTCTTCCAGTGGGACCTCTGGAACCTGGGTTGCCCTGAAAAAATAAAATAAGCTTCTATGTTAGCCTGCAAGAGACTTTTGTAATGGTGCAAAATGTCAAGTAGTCTGTGTGTGTGTGTGTGTGTGTGTGTGTGTGTGCGTGCGCGTTTACGTGCATGTGTGTGTGTCTACCCACACATTTGTGTAGGGCAGAAAATAATCGGATAAAATGCTGCACAGTCTTCTGTCATAGACAGATTCCCTTAGACTTCTCAAGGTCAATTTTAAGCCCCTGGTCAAGATATCAGTTGTGAAGGTGCAAAACTGGAAAAGGGGAACTTCTGCAGTGATTAAAATGATCTGTACTTGCATTGTCCATTAAGGGTGCTACAAAAGCCATAGTGAGGCTACTGAGCACTTAAAATGTGGCGAATGCAACAGAAGACTGGAATTCTTCAAGTAATTTAATTTTAAATGATCACATGTGGCTAGTGGCTACTATATGGAACATCCTCACCAGTCCAACAATTCCTGCTGTCTATAATTAAATTTCTACCAGCAACTCCTATAGGGATGCTCCATAGTTACCTCAATCCAACTGTTCCCAATTAACCCTAACCCAAGCCAGGAACCTGGTGGGAATTTGGACTGATTCTCCATTTCCCCCTTGTCCCATTAGCTTGATCTGCAGATCTTAATGCCCACAGCCAGGGCTAGGGTGAGTCACAAGAGCCTTCTAGGATGTAAAATGCAGGGATACACTCACTTTGCATGACCCTGACAGCAAGTGCCCCTGTGGTTCCCCAGGTGCCCCATGTTCCCAAGCCTGGCAGGACCATAATGTCTCATGCCCAGTCTCACTGCACTGCTCCACTGGAAGGCTTCATCCTTCCTTGCCTGGATCACTACACCTCTCATCCTTTCTTGTATCCGTGTCATCTCCAACACTCTCCATACTACTGCCAAATAATCTTTTTAAAATTCAAATTTCATATTAAATCTGTCAAAGCTCCCATGGCCTAATGGATAAAAGCTAAACTCTTCCCCATAGCCAGTAATGCTGTTCTAACCACTTCTTACCACCTCTTGAACCTAATCTCCCTCTTCCTGTACTTCTATTCTCCTTCTAGCAGAAGAACTTGCTGTAGCCCCAGAGCCTCATGTCGGCTCCCAGGTTCCCTCTGTCTGGAATGCGCTCTCTCTACATCTTTGCTCTGTTAATTGCTGTTCACCTTCAGTTCAAGGATCATTCTCCCCAAGAAGACTTCCTGGACACTTTCCTCCCCTAGGATGAGACAGCTGCCCCTCTGTGGACCCTCTTGTAGTCTTTTAGTCATACTATTGATGTGTCTGTCTCCCCCAGATATACTGTGGGATCTTTGAGAACAAGGACTGTGTAGCCCATCTCTGATCCTTTATCACATAACTTGGAGTTTATCACACAACAGAATATTTGATAAATAAATCATTCAGAATGTAAAAGTAGAACTTCTTGGAATCAAGTAAGCCTATATTAATGCATATTGAGAAAAATTCAAAATAAAAATATTTCACCATGATTTGCTGTACCAGGACCACCAGAATTACTTTCTTTTGCTTTTAATTTTTGCCTGATGCTTTAAAGAGAATACAAAGGCTAAAGCATTCATTTGCAGACTTCTGAAAAAACATGATCATGGAAGAACCTTGCATGGTTCGAATTTTTCTAGCTGGAAATTCTTGAAAATTATATAGTTACTTATTTACCCTAAACAGGAATATGGCATCTATTTGTCAGTAATAGATCCTAATTATGTGATTAAGTTAACTGTCAGTTTATCCTTGCTAACCACTCACACACAATTAGGACTGTCTCCATCATCAAATTCCCTTTCTTTGCTGAACTGTTACCTGAGATCCTGGATCACCTTTTTCTCCTTTTTTCCCAGGAAATCCATGAAATCCCTAAAAGAAGATAAGAAAATTCCCAGCTAAAAAAAATATAGTCAACCTCATGATGGATTTATAGCTTGAAGAAAAATGGCTCACCTCTTCCCCATCGATTCCATCAACCCCACCATAGCCTGGTTCTCCCTGAGACGTGACAGATGGCCATCAGGTAAAGGGAGGTCTCTGATGTACACTTATTGAGAAACTAATCCCACCATGAAATCAAAATTGTTGGAGAAGAAACTACGATACCTTATATCCGGAAAATCCTTTGGCTCCCTGAAAAATATTAAATATCTGTCATTAATGTATCAAGGACAATGTTGATCTGCAGGCTGCAGCAGGACGAAGCTGCCTCCCTAAAGAGATTGACTGTGTGTCACTTTAGTTGTTTCTGGCTATCCATCTGCAAAGGAGTTAGAGATGGGATTTTAATTAATGCTCAAGACTCCTTAAGATTATTAAGAAGCAGTGTTAATATCCAGACAACAGAACTAATAGATGTAACTGGAGAAAGAAAAGATCTATGCAAGATAAATCAAGGGAGGGAAGGACTGGAGGAGAAGGGGTATAAAGTTACAGGGAAATGAAAGTAACATTTCCAACAGAGCCTTCCTTACTTTTTGACCCTGCTGTCCTGAGCATCCTGCAATCCCTCTGTCTCCTTGGGGTCCAATTGCTCCTCTTCTTCCCTAAGACAAAGGATCCAAACACATATTCAAAGTGAATCTTTTGTCAGAAGCTTCCAGAAATTTGTTTTTAGAGCACTGAGCGACAGCATACAGGAATGCCAAGCAAATCTTGTTCATTTAAATCTCTCTCCCCCTATATTATACACTCTCCTAGTCAGACTTCAGGGCTTCCTTACAGACCCAAGGTCACAAGTCCACACAGGACAGGCTTAGGCACCTCACTTCCACATTGGACAGGGCAGCCAGAAGTTCAGAAGTCTTTTCACTTTCTAGCCACATTCTTAAGTACTCCAGTAATCACTGTGTTGGTCCTGACATCTTGCTCAGGGTACTAATGCTGTGTTGAAAAAGACAGCACTGCCTGCCTACAGAACCAAGTCTGTGCCAGTGACCTGGAGCTGAGCAGAGACAGCTGATGGAGTAAGAGCACAAAGGCAGTAGTGGCAGTCCTGATGGGAGGACACCAGATTAGAAATCACAAAGTCAGATCAGCCACTGTGATGTCCTCAGGGTCAGTGATGTGGGTGACTCCCAACACACTTGCTTCTCCAAGGAAATACTTAAATGCAGGTAAGTGCTAGAATAAAATGAATCTCTAGGGGAAAAATGTGTGTTCCTTAAGGACAGAGACCCCAAGTGTCTCTGTCACCACCACATAGCAAGCTTGTGCTGGCTCAAGTCTGGGTGCATAACAGATGCTCATAGTTTGTAGTTTGAAGTATGAATAAAGTCATGCTGCAATTATCAATGTGCTTGATTTTTTCCTTCCTAATGAGAAAGATAAGTGATTTTCCTTTTCCTTGCCTTGCTTTATTCTGAGGGTTATTTTCTGTCTTGCCCAAGGCCACAACTTGCTCTGGGTACCTAATCCCTACAACTTCTAATTGTCTGGACTTCCAGCCAGCTGCAAGTCCTCAGCCAGGCAGATGGATAATGCTATTCCCAGCATCAAAAGTGCTCCCATATTAGCTTGATGGTCTCCAAGAACCCTTTGAGGGTACCAGGTGACTGACTTTTGCAAACAAGGTCAGCCTTAGGGCCCTAGAGGAATTTATAAGCATTTACAGAGAAGGAAACAAAAGTCAAGAAGTATCTTGTTCAAGATCTCATATCTAGGTCAACCCTTGGCAGTCTGATTCCAGAGTCTGGCCTTTATACTTGATAAACTTGCTGCCCAGGTGAGGAGTTTCCCTTAACTCCAGAGGACAGAGATCCAGTCAAGAAGCTTCTTGAAATTTTCCCACCCCAAATAGAGCCAAACAAATGCCTTCAATCCCTCCAGATTCCACTCATAATTTGATGAACCAAGGGAAAGTTCAGTTTTAGGATCAAGGATTGATATCCACAAACCTCTGTGTTGTAACTTGTGGTCATGAAGCCACACCTGGGAGATGCCTTGGCCATTAGAGGGATGGATGCTCCAGCTTTGGCCTATGGTCTTCTATTAAGTACTGGGTTTCAGTTCAAAGGCAGCTTCCTAACAGGTAACCTGCTGCATCCTGCCTAGGGTAAAGAGGGGGATGTCCAGCTTCCCAGCCCTGACACACACATGCCACATATGTGAACTGGTGCTCCCAACCCAACCTGAATTTACTCAGTGCCTCATGATTCAGACAAGAAAAAAGGAAAAAAGAAGAAATGTCTTTCCCTAAAACACTATTAAAAATAAAAATATAAACAGAGCTCCATCTACCACTTCTGTATGAATGCAAAGCTTTTCCCAAAAAAGAAAATCAGGAAGTATAGGTGGGGGAGAAGGAATCGCAAAACTTACAGGGTCCCCGTCTTCTCCCCTGTGTCCTCTGCTGCCTTTCTGACCTGAAGAGCCCTGGAAGGAAAGAAAGAAAAGTGCATGTTAGCTGTTCCTTCATCAATTCAAATTCACAGAGTTCTGAGGCATTCTATACAATCTCCTCCCTTCAGTGTGCTTGCATTTTTGCAGATATGGCTGTGACTTTAGGAAGAGTCTGACAGCATCAAAAGCTAGCTTTTGTTCTTGCACTCATCTCTGCAGAAGGTGACTGTAACCCTTGGAAACTGCTTTGCAGGTGAGAGCCACAGGGCCACTCCTGTGCCCAAGGGGTTTGCACAGAAGACAGCTATAAAGTCAATCCTTTACAGCTGTAAAGTCCTTTTAGCAGGAAAGTCAAACACAATTGCAAAGAGATCATTTTATTTTCCTCTGCTTTTTTTTGTTGTTGTTGAGAGCTCAAGGAAGAACAAGTACAACAACAAGATGGTATCATCTCTCCCTCTGCCACACACGTTTGAACTGCTTTGTGGCAAAGATTTTATCTGAGGTCTGCTTTTCCCACTCTTGAGCACAGATCCCAACTGTCTATTCAGTGCACCAGGGAGGCTGTGCTCCCAAAACATAATTCCACTGTTGACTTAACAGAAGAGATTTCAGTAAACAAAATATCACGACACTGCAAAAAGTTCAATGTAAATTATCCTTCTACGAGGATAGATGATGCAGAAATCATGAGCAAGTACTATAGTTCATTTTTTGAAAATAAAGACCTTTCCATTGGGATATCAAAAATTCACTTGAAAGGTATATAAATGAATATGATATAAAATACATATTATAAAGTGAATTTTATATAGTAATTTACAGTTATTATATGTAAAATCTGCATATTCCTCAAGAATTAGGACATTATCTCAAGCACAGGGCTCACCACAATCACAATCTGCCTGATTCCTACCACCACCACCACTTCATCCCCAGGACAGCACTCCTAAAGCTTATAACATTTTCTTAACTTCTTAAAGCACTTCACCACTTAAGTATTCATTCCTACATGCTAAAGCTCAGTTTTGTCTATTTTCAAGCTTTCTTTAAATGGAATTCATACATACTCTGTGTTTTGCTTCTTTAGGCCATTACTGTGTTCATGAAAGATATTTGTGCTTTTCTGTATAGCTGTAGTTAATTCATTCATTTGAAATAGAATATTTCATCAAAAACTCCAATATATTTATTGATTTTATTGCTATGTAATTGATCTTTTAAAGTTTGTCACTTTAAAGACCCTGTAATACTATGATTTTCTGAACTTCAATCTCATGTCATTGCTGATGAAGCACAACTCTCTCTGCTAACACCTTTCAAACTGTCTACAGCAAATATAAAAGTGCAAATTGTAAAACCAAGAAGCAATGCCACTAAGGGTACATAGGAGAAAGAGAAATATTCTTTTTTTTCCCCTGTTAAGTTTATTGGTACATTTAAAGCAAACAATACAGTTACATTTATCATTGGGATCTTGTGCCTTTACATGATATGTCTTGGTTCTTATTTTCCCCATACCCCTGCCCTCCATTCACCCCTTCACCCTTCCCTATTTACAAAGACTTTTTGACCCAGCTATCCCTCTGCTGGGTATCTTTCCAAAAGAATTAAAAGAATCATACCACAGTGATATATGTGCACCCATGTTTATAGCAGCAGTTTGTATTAGCTAAAACTTGGAAACAGCCCAATGCCCATAAACTGGACACTGGATAAATTAGATGTGCTTTTTCTATAAAATAGAGTACTACTCAGCCATAAAACATGAAAAACTAGAAATATGTATAGCTAAATGGATGCACACTGAGGCCATATCCTTAAGTGAAATAAACAGAACACGCTTGAGTAAATACTGAATAGTTTCTCTGGTGTGAAAAACTAAAAGTGTAAATAAGGTTCATATGGTATAATTGAGAGTGTGAAATGGGAAGAAAATGGCTAAAGAGGAAGTAGGAAGGGGGAGAAAGAAAATAAAGGAAAAGAAAAAATGTGAAAAAAGATAAAATGGAAACAAAGAGGAATAATCTAAATAGCAGCATCAAAAGTGACCCCTTCTGAATTGGCTCCTAACCAAAAAAGTCATGTGAAATGCCCAGAGTGGTTATATTGACATTGAGTGAAGATTACAAATTTAACTACTCAGTCTCAGTCCTACCCATGCTGGAGCAAAGCACACTAGAGAAAATAGTGCTACAACTCAATAGTACCTTAAGACCTTGCAGTCCTCGGGTTCCATGAGATCCCAGAACCCCTGGGCATTTGCAAAATGTACAGCAGCAAGTCCTCTCTGCAATATTTCCCTGAAAAAAAGCAAAGCTGAGTGAGCAACAACTGTCAGGAATTTTATTACATGAGAATCATATTCATACAAATCATAATCTACCACCTGTAAGCCCATCTTTTTTCTTTGGATAAGAGGCTGCAAGGAATAAAAGGTGATTTTTTTACTTAAAATGGCAGAGAAGGTAGCAGACTAAAACTGTGTGGACAACATCTCCTTTCCAAGAGAAATGACCTTATTTATAGAAAAGACACCAAGCACATAAATCACCACATGCCAAGTTTGATTCTAGTTAACAGTCTCCTAAAACAGGAACTTCTGTAGCATAAACTATTGGAAGTTTTCTAGACTAGGGACTGACTTGTCTTTGGGTCCCTATGCATTCATTTAGTGAGATGACAAAGAATTAAGGGATATGCAAAAAACCCAAAATATGATGTTCTAATCTTTCATTTTTATATGCTATGACCATGAACTTAACTCAGTGGCACAAAGGCAGTGTTTGGAAATACCAAGAGTTCAATTTAGTTCTCAAGACATTTGGAATAGCTAGACTTTAAAAAAAACTCACCAGGTATTGTGACAGCATGTTGCCTAGTTGTGTCATTCCAATGGTCAAGTGAGTCCTATAATCAAATCCTTTTCCAAATTCAAAGCTGGAAAAATCATGAGCAGCTGTGTTGAGAGCTACCACCAGCAGAGCATCAAGTCCTATTTAGTAAAAATTACAGGCATAAAACTCAAGGGTTTGTACAGGAAAAAGACATTTTACTTGGTGAACATTATTCAGAGAATCAGAAATAGAGAAAAACAAACATAAGAGAAAATAGGACATAAAAAGAACTTAAAGATTTTCCTTTTCTGAATATGCATCAATCTCTAGCCTCTGTCTTTAGCATGGAATCCCTTGAGAAAAAGTTTTCAAGAATAATTATTTGCCAATCTATTGAAAAATACTAGTAGAAAACTGTGTTCAATATCTTGCAACCAATTTTGATACAGCTCTTACAATTTGAGTAATTTTTAAGAAGGTATAGTGTTCATCTTCAGGAAGATTTTCCTATGTGTAAGTTAATCCCCAAAACACAAAAACAGATATGTGGATACAAAAACAACCCCAAGCACATTTAAATATTTGGCCTTTGACAAAATGGCAAAGAATATGCATTGGAACAAAGACAGCCTTTAATAATTGGTGCTGGGAAAATTGGCTATCCACATGCAGAAAATTGAATCTAGACACATATCTCTCATCATGTACTGAACAAAAATCAAAATGGATCAAAGAACTAAATGTTAAAATAGAAACACTGAATCTGCTGGAAGATAAAATAAGTAAAACTGTTGAAGTGATAGGTGTACACAAGGAATTTCTGAACAAACCCCTGGTTACATAGGAAATAGTATTGAGAATTAACAAATGGGATTGTACCAAATTTTAAAACTTCTAAAAAGCAAACAAAACAACTAACCAAGTGAAAAGACAACCTACAGAGTAGGAGAAAATTTTACCAGCTATTTCCCAGAGGACCTTTATCTAGAATAAAGAAAGAATTCAAAAAAATTAGACCCCCCCAATAAAAGACCTAATTAGAAAATGGGCACATGAAATGAATATATGTTTAATACATAAGATGCATAAATGGCCAATAAATACATGAAAAAATGCTCAACATTGGCTATTAGAGAAATGCAAATTAAAATAACATTGAGATTCCATCTTACCCCAGAAAGAATGGCCACCATCAAGAAATCAAATAATAACAAAGATTGACATGGCTGCAGGGAACAAGAAATCTTTCCACATTCTTGGTGGGAATGTAAACTAGAACAACCACCATGAAATTAGTGTGGAGATTCCTCAAAAAACTAAAACTAGAAACTCCATTTGACCCAGGTATCTTCCTGAAAGAGTCAAAGATATCATATTAGAGTGATACATGCAAGCCCATGTTAATAGCAGTATGATTCAAAATTGCTGAAACTTCGAACTAGCCTATATGTTCATCAACAAATGAACAGATAAAGAAAGTATGGTGTTTATACCCAATAGAGCACTACTCTGCCATAAAGAAAGATAAACTTGAGTCATTTCTGGGAAGATGGATGCACCTTGAGACCATAATGCTCAGTGAAGTAAATTAGATACACAAGCTTAAATATTGCATTATTTCTCTTACATCAGAATCCCAAATGATAAATAAAAAGCAAAGCAAAAAGTAGATATTAGGAAGTAAGGAGATAGATCGTCTTCAAGGTAGAAGAGGATCAAGAGATAGAGGTAAGGGAGGAGGAAAGGAAGAGTGGTTGAAAAAAAAAGGAATTAAGATGTACTATATACATGTACTAACTCTACCCAAGGAGTTTAAACATTATTTACCACAAATATGTGCTAGCAAAGATTAAAATAAAAAATAAATAAAACTTTTTTAAATCAGATAATAACAGTTCTCAAGTTATCCCCAGTTCTAGACATACCCAGGAGCCCAGGTTCTGCAATAGCACTCCTACCTTGGAGCCAGCCAACAGTTGCTGTAAACATGAGCTAAAATAAACCTCTTCTCCTTTAAGTCATGGGTATGGGATATTTTGTCCCACTGATGATAAAGGCAGCCATACTCCTTCCTGTCACAGAGTCTATGGTCTGGTGTTCCAAGAGGGAAAATCGGGGTACTCACAGGCCCTAAGAAGGAGCTCCTAACTCAGTCTTGGAGGTTTGTGGACTGTTCTTAGAGAAACTGATGCATAAGTTGATTGTAAAAGAATGGAATCTGGTCAAGGGAAAGAGCCAGAGATGAAAGATAAAGAGAAGAACTGGTGAGGAAGGCAGGTGGGACTTGGACAGATCTCTAGACAAGAGGCTGGAGGAAAGAGGCTACAAAGTACTTTGGGGGAGGAAGGGGAAGTTGTGTGCCTAAAACACTAAGTGTGAGGAGTGAGTTCAGGGAGTTGGCCTGGAGTCTGCAGAGCCTCATAGGCTATAGATGAATATCTTCAATATTGCAGAAGGGATCCAAACTAGGAAAATGACACAGCCCAGAAATCAAACAGAACACTTTGTGGCCTCTAGGTAAAGCCTGTGGGAGCTGAGTTCCAGAAGCCAGCCTGGGCTCTACCCAGGCGGTATCTAATAATGTGTCCCATCTGACACTCAGTGGAGTTTCCCTTCACTGTATATTCCTCTCAACTTCTGCATTCAGCTTCCAACCCAGTTCAAAGCTACAACAAGGACAAGAGGTGAAGAAGGCAGAGTGCTTTTCCAAAACCATGCTAACGTCCTTCACATCCACAATCAGGAATAAAAGGAGGTCAGAGACCCTAGAAACAGAATTTGAGAGAGGAATTGGGGTATGTGAGAGACTGCTTGGGCCTGCATAAGATGACTGCCCTCAACCTTAGCCTTTGCCTCAGTGGAAAAATCCCACTAGACTACATACGTGACTTATGGCAGGTCTAGCCCCTGGGCAAACAGGGAATCTTACAGAAAAAATAGCCCTTTGTGCTAACCACAGGGTCACGGGATCTGGAGCAGGAAGCAGGTGGTATTTCCTTGTCCTACTTGCCCCTAGGGATTGTGAAGTTAAAGATTGCATAGGGTTAATTGCTGATGTACGCCTTCCCACCTACCCCTCCCCACATTTGGTAAAATACTGATTGCTGTATGGTTAAATGCTTGAGTGACTCATGTGATTGATTTGTTTGAACTGTCCAATAAGCTTGCTGAACCTTCCCCCTGGGATAACAGTATATAATCGTTTTGCTGAGCCAATAAAGCGCCTTTGATCAGAAACCAGACTTGGGCCGTGTACTCTAACTTCTTAAAGATTTCCTCCACAGACATTCAAGATCGGATCGGCCTCTGATGACCCACGAATAAGAGGCGGCTCTCACCTCCTATTCCCCGCGGGACGGGGTCCCCACAGAGAGCCGCAGGGGTATGTGTGGTTTATTGAGATAAAATTTAAAAAGCATCAAAGATCAGAGGAAATTGTGAGCAGGGAGGTATCTCAGGAAATCTCAGCCCGGGCTTAATTCATGAGGAAATCTGGAGTGTAAATTGTACCAGAGTTGACCCACCCCAGACACGGGTGCTGGACTTTTGTATCTCTATATCACTGATAGGCCCATCCACAAAGATGGGGCGTGGTATAACCCCACCCTTATTCCAAGCATGTCCACATGCATTTCAGGCTGTGAAAATCACAGGTGTAAGCACTTCGCCACAGCATTTGCAGCATTTGGGGGACATCTGTGGGAACTAATCAAGGGGCTCTCTAATCAACAGCATCCCCTGTTGTAACCAAAGGATCCTAAGATCTAGAGCACCTGGGAAAGAATAGAGGTTTGTTCATCATATTCCGTATTTTGTTGTTTACATATTCAGTGTGATACCTGCTTTTCTCAGACGGTCTGATTGATTTTCAAGCATTGTGGTGCTTTCACCTTGGAGACCATCTGAAAAGATCAGCAGTACCTAGAGAAAGAGGAAAGCAAAAAATGGGATGATGTAAAGACAAAAGCGGGGAGGAGGAACAAGTGAAAGAATAAGGAGTGGGAGACAGACTGTGACAAGGATACCTGTCCCCGAGATGCAGATTTATCTTCAAATGTATCCCACATTGACTCCAAGAACTGTACGTTCAGATGGGTTGGGCCGCTGACAGTGACTTGCAGCAAGCTGTCAAACAGTGATCTCTGGTAGATTTGGAACTTGGCAGGGAACTCTCGATCACTGTTCACCTTGAAGGCCAGGCTCACCTGTGCCTCTGCACCTGCCCCACAGCTCACTCCCCTGATGGAGGTGATGTCCTGTAAGATGAATGGCAGGTACGATTCCAAGCGAGGGTGGCCATGGAACAAAGGCTGCCCCTGATGGTGAGTAGAAATGTTGAACCCAACCACTACATCCACAAAGCAACCTGGAAACCAAGGGAAAGAAGGACAGGTTAATGAGCAAACAGGCATAAGAAAAGGCAAGCAGAAGGGGCAGGCAGGAAAGGCTCGGAAAAGAAGAGCTGTTATGCCCCAGAGCTGAGACTAGAGCATCCCTAGTACCCAACAGTGTTCAAAAAGGAAGCTACGGGCTGCTCTCCCAGTATGTAACACAGGTGTTTCCTCTGGCCCCTTTCAAATATTACATGTTCCAGTAGATAGGTGAAATTCAAACCATCGTCTAGTCGCATGCTTAGTGGCTGTGTGTATGCATTGTTTTTCTTTTAAGGATTACATTCTGACCCACATAATCAAACCACATGAAAGATTTAAACTGCTCTGCAGATCATTTGCTCTTCGGGGGTCACATGCAAATGGGTATGGAGGCTGGATGGGCAATGTAGCTCAGTCAAGCAGGTGGGGGCAAGAACAATGGCCCACCTGGGCCTGTTTGTTGCTCAGCTCCAGCAAAGGACAGCCAGGTGGCCTCCCTTCACCCCCCTTCCCACTCCCCCTGGAGGAGAGGGTGAAGGGAGGGCAGGGACAAGGGGAAAAAATGAGAACCAAGACCTGTCATGTACAGGTACAAGATTCCAATGATGAATGTAACTGTACTGTGTACCTAAAATGGACCAATAAACTCATGAGGAAAAAAACACTCCAGTTCCTGAAGGTATAAAAAAATACTCATACTGTACTAGCACCATGACAAAAATGCAAATGTTTGCCTTGCATTGCTGTGATAGTAATCTTCTCAAATGTTCAAAAGCACCTACTTTTGTCTAACATCAATATTTGCTATTAACTGTTTACTTATATGCATATATAAGAATTCTAGGGAAAAAAACGAACAGCAAGGTGGGAAGTGGGTTCAATGTTCTCAAAAGGAAGCCTGAAATCTACATTCTCAAAATGTAAACTCTTAAGTTTGTTAATGCTGATGATTAAGCTAGCAAATTGTTGTCTGTGGACAGAAGAAGCACATTGTATGTGCAAACTGTCCTTTGGTTACCTTTGATCCTATCTAGTTGTTCATTTTCCAGATGACAGAACAACTATTCATGGAGGCTGTTGCTGCTGCTCCAGAATTAGAACTCTGGCTTTCTGCCCCCAGGGCCAGGGCTCTTTCCTCCTCTGTCAGTTGCCTCCCCTTAAGCACCCAAATGGGACATAAAAGATCTGGAGCACATACAAAGACTGACATATTTTGTGACAGAGCAGCTTCCTTTAGTACGACTGTAGAAACAGAAGCACTCCGAAGATTTCTGTGTGCTTTGCAAATGTCACAAAATGTGGAATACTTCCTGATATGCTGTCCTCCCAAATTCCAAACCCACAGTGACAGAACCTGAGTCCCCCATGGCAAATGTCAGCTGGAGCTAAATTGTAACTTCACCATTAATTGCTTTCCAGTTTACTTGATTCACTCACAGGCACACTTAATATCTGTTTATATTTATGCTCTCTGGATTTGCAAATCTCTAAGAACAATTTAAATCTTTAAGGTGTTATGATGGTATGAATATCATCATTAAAAGAAAAAACACACTCTACACAAACATGTGTACATACACACACACAAGTCCCTACAAGATGGTTTTTAAAAGTTAAAATAGTAAAATTTTCAATCAGGGAAATGTTCATTTTCTTTATGTCCTCCTGAATTCAGAGTATGGTCATAGGCCTACCAGAAATGGAGAGGGTAGAAATAGGAGACTGAGATGCAGGTACTAAATGGAACATAAACACTGGATTGCAGGGAGGGGACGAGACTGGCCGGAGGACACAGCCCAGGCCCCTCCAGTCTCTGCACTCTCTCCTTGTCTTTTAGGAAAGTTGGCTGATCCTGAACTTAATGGAAGCAGAGGAGAGGCCTCTTCTCACTAAACATGCTTATAAATATATATTCTGCTGGAGTTGGTCCCTAAGACACTGAAAGAAATGGGAAGTTGCAAGTGAATTAAACAAAACAAAGAACACTTACTGGTTTTCTCACAGCTCTGGCAGATTTGACGAACCATTCTATTTTTCACATTCATATCCCTTAATTTATTAAAGTCTTGCAAAGTGATTATTTTTTTAGAATTGCCTGAGATTGGCAGAAGCTGTTCTTTATTAACTTTGCCAATGCCCAAAACCAAGATACAAATTCCAAGGTCTTTTAGAGATTTTACTGCATCGATAACATTATAGGCAGGATTCCCAAATATGATAACCACCAGAATTTGAGGAACGCCAGCATTTTTCCTCCCACCAATGGGTGGATCGAACATATGGACCACATGTTTAAGGCCTAAGTGAATTTGTGGAAGCCCGTTGGTCTTGGCAACAGTCTGAATTGTTGACTTCCACTGGGTTTTATTCAGATGGTTTTTCAACTCTATAATTTCCTGGTAGCGGCTCCCATATTGAGCCATCCCAATTTTCATTTGAGACTGAATTTCAAAATTATCGATTAAATCTCACAAGAAACTCATCATGGTAACAAACGCTGTATCAGATACTGAGTCAGAGCCATCACAGAGGAAAACCACATCAGCTTCCTGAAGGTCACAGGCTGCAACAGAAAAAAAGAATAAATTACTTTCCTCATGAATCAGTCTAAATTTTTTCTTTGATATTTAAATTGCTTTACTAAATACTTAAATTGCTTTACATTAGTAGCAAATTGAGAGAAGTTAACAGAAAGGAGAATTTCTTATTGGCCCTCAAAGAGAAGGAAAAATAGCAGAAAGGAAAATAATAATAGAGGATTTTGAAAGTATAATTATTTGCATTATTTATTAGAAATGACACTGCAAGCTACTCAAAAAAAAGTAGGAAGTTTGAATAGTCTGAATATATCATTAAAAGGTCATTAATTACACAGACTGGAAGTCTCTTCATACTCAACATCCACCCAAGTCAAGGTAACAGCACAACTGTAAAACTATCAGTACTCCTTTTACTATTAGTGCTTCCTGCTGCCTGTGTATTGAGTATTGCTAAGGTGCTTTTCAAATGTAATGATATAATTAATATATAGTTCCACTTTAAGAGGAATTATTCTAATTTTCTAGATATAGACATGGAAATAAGAGGTTAGGTCACTTGCCTAAGAACACAAAACTACTATGGAGTGGAGCTGATAAGTGGGATCTCCAGATCCTTTTTACCCTCAAATCCAGAACTTATTTTCTGCAGTGTTTTCTTTTGGTATCATAAGCTAAAAATTAAAACTTCATGGGACAAGTGTTATTGACTCATAAACAGGGCACAGCATCATTTTTTGAATTTCAGTGTTGGAAATATCCCAAAACCAAGGGACAATGTTCTATTCTTAATTCCAACTAAATCTATTGCTGGTGCTGGGGTTGAAGCAGCACGAAAGTGATCCCTAAAGGTAGCTGAGACCATAGGTTGCCTATTGTCATGCAACTCTTTGTAAAAGTAGCATGGTAGACCCAGAGATGGACTGCCCAGACAGACCTCCAAGGAAGCCTCACCACAGACAGCCCTTCCTTGGGCAGTCTACTTCCAGGGATGAAGTGAGAAGGGGCTCTGATGCTGGACATTTCTCACAAGTGATGCTTGCTCTGGATCTGTCTGCTAAGCGTAAAGCTTTGTAGAGCAGGCATCACTATTTTGACTTCTAACCATCTTGCCTTCCCCTCTTTATTTTACAGGTGTGGATCCTCTAATAAGCATCTTGCATTGCAAACCCCATCTCAGCATCTAATGCAAAAGGAAAGCATAGCAGATGAGAATAAATCAGCACCCGTACTCCTTGAACAATAATGTAGTCTTAGTAATATGCTAAAATTGGTGGTGACCCAGTGATAAACAAGAAACCACAGTTTTGTGGGAAACAAAGATAAGAAAACAGCAAGATATATGTTAACACCAGGAGAAATAGAAGAAGAAAAAGTTGAAGAGATCCAATGAGATATAGGGTCAGATGTCTAGCCAGGACATGAACAATGACAGAATTTGACAGACAAACTAGATGTAGGCAAGTGAGGTGGTAAGCTGCAGTGTTCATGGATGATAGAATGCTGTGTACAAAGATGTGAAATTTCAAAAAAATAAGGGAAAAGGAGAAAGACAGATGAGGTTGGAGTGGTGGGCAGGGATTAGCTGGAGCTTAGAAGTTTGGAAATGACCCCCAAAACAAAGGGAAACATCCACAAACCTTTAGGCAGAGGAGTGACAAAATCTAGTGTGTATAAGATCCTCAGTGTGGACATCAAAACTGTGCAGTAATTGTGAGAAAAACTGTAACTGAAAGTGAAAATTTTTCTCTATATTTTAGGGATAAATAAGTAATTTGTTCTTAGGTAAAGAAGATCACTCAGTATCTGAATGGATGAATCAATTTCTTATTTAAGTAAGGCATAGCTTGGTGATCAGGCATAATTTCACCCAGCAAAGAAAATTCTGACTGGGATTTTGGAGAAGGTTCTGTTTGGGGTTGGACTTGTTTCAAAGACAGAGGAGTAAGTTAGTGTTCATCTTAGAAACATGATTTGTGTTGGCTACAAAAATAGATTTTTATATTCGTAGAGAGAAAGGGAGAAAGAAAGAAAAAAGGAGGAGGGAGAGAAGGAGGGAGGGGAGAAGAAAATAGAAAGAAAGTTAGTTGATTGAGTCATTTGCCAAGTTTGGAGGACTGGATCCATACACACATGGCAAGGATTCAGATCTTCCAAAGAGGCAGAGAACCTCTCCATAGCTGACTTGTCAATCTTTGCTGCGTTTGAAGTCACGTGGATATTACACCTGCAGCCTGTGCAGCTCAGCACTCACTCATGAAACACAGACGAATCTCCTCCTTACCCTGATCAGAGCAGCCAATCTGTATCACCTCACATTCCTCTCCCCAGGCTCTCTCTCTGCATGAGTGGTCCTTATGCAGAAATGCATATCTTACACTTCTTATGAGTTATATGGTACCTGCAATACCATTTAGAAATCCCCAGATTTTAAAGACAAAAGTCTATTTGTTTCAACCATTCAACTCTCCACTTGAGTCTGGACTAAAAATGATGATCAATGGCTGCATGGAGATCGTGAGGCAAACAGAGAAGCATGAGTAGTGGTTAAATGAGATTAGATGACAATAACCTAAAAAAAAAAAAAAAAGAGCTTCCTGAGGCCAGAAAAAGGCAATGCAATAGCAATCAGAACAAGGACTGTGTTTAAAACAGTCCTGCATCACTTCTTCAATGCCTAAGATGGTAAGAAGAGAACTTTGTGATCTTGCTCAACTAACCCAATTTCTCTCAGATGAGAAAACTGGTTTCCTGAGTATAGAAAGATTCAGCCCATGACATTCAAGTAGCAGGAAGCCCTGATTTATGATTTATGATTTTTAAACTGTATTACTACTCTCCCTTACAAAGTAAAAACAATAACTTACCTGCTGCTGAATTGTTACACATTCCTATGAAAGATATAAATATCTTTCAGTTTGTCAAAATTGTCCACATGAATAGTGTTGTCTTTATGCCCTGCCATCATCTCCAGCTCATCTTGGTTGGCCTTTCCTACACCCACTGCAAAGATGGTGATGCCTTTGTCTCTTAATTGCAATGCTGTGTCATTGAGTTCACTTCGATCATGGGATTCCCCATCCGTGATGATGATCATCATCTGCTTCACATTTTGCTTGATGCGGCTGCCATGTTCCTCTCTGAACAGAATGCTTGAGTGTTTGAGAGCTTTGGCAGTGTAGGTATTCCCTCCAGTAGCCCTACGTTTCCTCAGATTCTCAATGATCGCTGAACTGGTAGAGTATTTGTTAAGGTAGAAAAGAATCTCGGGAGTGTCTGAGTATTTGAGCGCTCCAAACTGTACTCGGTCCCTGCCAACATCTGCTTTCTTCACCAAATGGATAGTCAGATTGACCATGCTTTCTTGCTGTTCTGCACTGATGCTGCCAGAGTGATCCAGCACAAACACAACATCTAACTGTTCAATCCTTTTACAATCTGAAAAAAAGAAAAAAGACGGGGTCATAAATACTATGCAGGGCATCCTGCACAGATCACTGACCTTTGCCATGAACTTATCACGTGCCTGTAAGCCCCACCCCCTCACTTAGCTCTTTGAGGAGGCTCAAAGAGGGCAGCATTCCCTAATCATGACTCCAAGGATATTGCTGTCCTCATTTGTGTGAAGCCACAATAGATGATCTGTATACCAAACCACTCTTCCAATGCAACTCATGAGGAGAGCTAAGGCCTTTTGCTAAGCCAATGTCAGAAGTTAGTTCAATGCCAACAGCAAGGTGAGAGACATACTGATATTTGCCTACCCGACTTTTTTGCGGGGCGGTACTGGAGGTCCAACTCGGGCTATTGCACTTGCAAGGCAGGCTGCAGAACCACTGAGCCAAATCCCCACCTACCCGACCTTGTGAAGAGTTCAGGAGTTCATTATATAAGTTGGGATTTTCATTCACCTCCCTCAGGCTCCAGCTATCTTCTGAGCCTCTGGTAGGCAAAGCTTCCCATGTGCATCCGCCTCTCCACACTTACTTAGTTGTGCTCCTTCCACTAGCTTCCTGAATTAGAATTCATTAAAGGAGTGGCCCCAAGCAGGAGGAGAGCAGAAACCCCCATCTCCTCCTCCCTAGACCCAAACCCTGCTCCACATTAGAAGCCAACCAACTACCCTAGTGGTAGGTCTTCAAGAGGATGGGTTCTTACCCTCTTGTTTCCTTCCTGAAATAGCTTAAGCATCTGCCTTCCATAGGTTCATTTTCTCCACTTTCTGCTTCCCAATATTACCTCAATCTTTATATCTGGCAATGAAATCTCAAATTCTCAAGTCTCGGACACTGTGGATAGCTTAGGCTATAACCATAAAAACCTGGAACAATAATTACAGAGATGTGGTGACTAGTGATGACTTAGTGATTATGAGTCTATCTAATGAATGAGTCAGCAGAGATTTCACCTTACACTATAGACAAAGCCTCCACAAACATTACATCTAGGAAATGAAACAGAAAGAAGCTTGCAGATTTCCAAGTCCAACCTGTGGCCTTTGGGTACACCTCTCTGTATTACCAAGAGTTCTGGAATCATTCCTACTTTGAGAGGTAGAAAAAAATTCCAATTAAGCTGTAACCAAGAAGTCTTAGAACTCACTTAAAACTCAGAGATTACAATGAAATTTTATGTTAACTTTCTGAAAATTTCACACGCATAATTTTGAAGAAGTCCAACAGATATCTTTATGTTACCAGGTAAACAACACACAAATTTACTAATGTTTTGGTTTGTTGTCATAGCTATATCCAAAACAGATAATAGGACATACTAAATTTTAAAGCACATGTGTTTTAGTCTGTGTATGCATTTATAGCAAGTTGTTATTCAAGAAGTGTTAAAATTGATAGGCTCAAACTAAAGACTGTTCAATACAACTTGAAAAGCACCACTATTTGTGACATAAAAATGGTGACCCCAAGCAATTAGAAAAATATCACAAATCCAAAATTTCCAAAAAAAGGACATAAACAAATGTAAAATAGACGTTAAGAAGAATATGGAATAATTGAAGTTAACACATACCTTTAAACTACAAAAAAAATTAGCAGATCAAGGTTGCTTAGGATATGAACTTAATTTAACTAAAAGGAAGATGAATTTGTGTTTCTAATTATTTACTTCTTAGTAGTGGTTAAATTTAGCCAAGAAATAATTCTAAGAAATCATTTGCGAATAAAAATTGGCTCTGGAAAATTCAGTTATGTAAGTATTAAAGAATTGAAAGTTTTAGTATATGTGCTGCTGAAGAGTTGAAAGTTTTGTGTAAAATTCTGAGAACTTCTTGAAATATATTTGAAGTCAACAAAAGCAAAATTATTTAGTGCCAAACTGTTAACCTGGGATATTCTTGGAAGTCAAGAGCATTTTAATATAATATAAGACCAAAACACAACACTAAAGTCCAGGTAAAGCCAAGCTCAGCATATAACACTCCTTATCCACTACAAAGTTAACAGATCACATGCTTGGGTTCTGAAGTATAGCAGGGTCACTTACCATGCAGAGCACACACACGAAAGATGAGTTTGTTTTCTATCGCTTTCAGGAGATCAAAGTTCTCAACATGGAAAATGAGGCTTCCATCCCCACTGATCTCTTCCAGCTGAGTCCTGTTGGCACCAAACACCCCTACAGAGAAAATGATCACCCCACTGTCCTGAAGAGCAACTGCAGGAGCTCTCACATCATCCTGTGCTTCACCATCTGTGATGAGGATGAGAAACTTTCTGACCTGGGGACGGGCCCCCTTGGGGTAGGTAAAATATTGACTTGTAAAGGTTAATGCACTTCCTGTCAAAGTGGTACTGTCAATAGGAGACATTCTTTCTATTGCATCGGAAATTTCTTTGGTCGTAAAGTATCTGTTAAGCTGGAACTCTTCCTTATTATAATTACTGAACTGAACCACACCAATTTGGTTTTGGTTTGCACCAATTTCAATTTTAGTCAAGAGATTTTTCATGAAGGTTTTCATTATCTCAAAATTTGCAGATCCTATACTTCCAGAACTATCCACAAGGAACATGATATCAGCCTTCATGTCTTCACATCCTGCATGTTATTAAAAAAAGAGAAAGAAATGGCACAGTTATCAGAATATGTCTTAGAAATAAAGCAGCAATGAGAAAATACTGAAAATAAACTCAAGCAATCCAGTGTTTTTTGAAAACTTCATTTGCAACTTTAGTAATCTGATGTCTAGAACATGGATTAGAAATTCACTGGAGATCATTCAAGGATTTTTAAAAAGGAAAGGCAACTTCCAAAGTGTATGCATATATTACTTATTTATCCATAATTCATTCATTTGTAATTCTTGAGGTGTACAAATTTCTAAGCCTCAGGCTATTATTAAGAATGCAATGGTGATCCAAACATTTTTTTAAAAAGGAGTCAAGAGTCAAATTCTCAGCATTAACCAGACTAATATTCAGGGTCTGTATGTTCTTGAAAAGCACAATTCCAATGCTTCTTTAAATAACATTATTTTCTGGCATTATAAGTGATTTAATAAACACTATAAGTCAATATTAAAAATTGGAGAGATAATTGACAATGTGAAATAGGAAGAAAAGGGCTAAAGATGTAGGGAAAGTAGGAAGGGTAGGGGAAAGGTAATAAGGGAAAATTAAAAATATGAGAAAATGAAAAAATGGAAATAAAGTGTTTGTAAATGGGGAGGGGGAGAGGGGGTGAAGGGAGGTCAGGGACAAGGGGGAAGAAATGAGATCCAAGACCTGTCATGTAGAGGTACAGGATCCCGATAATGAATGTGACTTACTATATACCTAAAATATACCAATAAACTCAATCAAAAAAATTGGAGAGAAAAGTTTTTTCCTAGGGATAAGTGCTTTGGTGGGCACATATCTATTCACCATGGACAGTTCCTTTATAAACTGTAGGTAGCCTGTTGATTGAAAGTGGACATTTATACACATATAAAACCATTCCTATAAGCTATAGAATATTATACATAATAATAGCTTATAGAAATGGTCTTACATGTGTGTATATGTCCTATCAGTGCTCCTGGATTCTATCTCATAGTACTTGAAAATAAACATCTAACACCAGCCATATACAGAAAAATGAAGATAATCATTTTATTGACTTGGATTCACCATGAGGATTGAAAGAAGACCTAAAAGCAGGGCACGATGGCTCATACCTATAATCCTAGCACTCTGGGTGGAAGACTGCAAGTTCATGTCCAGCTTGTACAATTTAGTATGACTTTATCTCAAAGATTTTTTTAAAGGCTTGAAGCCATCCTGAAAGCCCTCTGCGTGAAGCCTTTGCAAAGCCCCACCTTGGGAAAGTGTGGAAGATGCTCTTCTGTGTGACATGGGTAAAGACTTTTACATGTGGCTTAGTATTCTCAGGACCTACTTCATTATTCTACAAGTGCCAGAGACTGCATCTTGTCCCCTGCTGTTTCCCCATTCTTTTATGTTCATTGCATTTCAGCTAGACAATGGTTGCCCAGATAAAGGCTCCATTTCCCAGCCTTCCTTGAAACTAAACACAGCCCTGTGTCTAAATTTGGGCCAAGAGATTTTTGGCAATGGTGATTCTGCCCCATTTCTGGTTTCCCAATGAAGCAACTGTTAATCGTGGTGGGCACTCTTGGTTCTTTTACCCTTTCCATGACGGGGAGGTAATGCAAACTGGAACTTTAACTTTGACTAAGCAAGGAAGCGGCATGTTGAGAATGGAACAGCCACTTATTAGACCTGAACTGCTCACTCCAGACTATTTTGTGTGAGAGAAATGATATTCTGTAGTATATAGTTTGGAATCTTTTTTGTTAGAGCAGTTTAATCGACCCAAGTTGACATGCTGTGCTCATTCCACCTGCACCTGCTCTGAGACTTGTATTTTCTAGTCCCTTGGGCTTAGGCTCTTTAGTGTTCCTCTTCTCTACCTACTGTTTCATGACTCTTCTTCTTGTCCATAGCTTGTCTCCTCCCCCAGATATTCCACCGTTAGAGAAGTGCTGTCCCTCCTAGGATTAGGCCAGAGCCTTTTTCTTTGAAAGGATCAGAGGTACAATCACTTTATGCTTCCTGAAACCCTTTTAGTTTTCTTAGAGTCAACCCCAGAAAACAGTGGGATATTTTTACTCTTGCATTCTTTCTAAAAATTCTGAAAGCCTATTCTATTAATACCCATAACAGGAAGGAAGAATGAATAAAATTGTGGCTTAGGGTTCTGTTTCTAATGTTGCTTATTTTCTTGTTATTTTTCTTTAGTAAGTTCAAATAAGTGAAAATTCTCTACCCTTCTCATCAATGAACATTTATACCACCTTCAATAGCTCTTATGTAGCACTTATTGACAGGTATTTCTCTAAGACCTCAACATGTGTTATCTCCATTACGCTTATCCGGGAAAGGGGACAGTAGATTATGCAAGGTCTACAGCTGATCAGTGGTACAGCTGGGGTTTAAACCTTGATTCTGGCTCTAGTCTCCATTCTCTTAACCACTTAGTATGCATTTTCCACGTGCCACAACCAGCAGTCAACACTTAGCATCTTGAAATAAGAAACATCTATTGTAACAATCTGATACAGGAAATTTGAAATTTGTTTTTTTAACTTTTGGCACTTAGTCTCTGGTCAGAACAAGAATTCAAAGATGTGCTTCTGTTCTCAACTACTCAAAAACTACTAATGTTTACATACATACTACAGATGTATTTGTAATATAAAAATAAGGGTTGGCATTTATGATGCTCAACCTATAATGATTCTCTGATATAAGTATTACCCACATTTTAGAGATGACAGTGTTTTAGGCTAGAGAAGAAAGGTGAGATTAAACCCTAAACTACCTAAAGCCAAAGGCTGCTGGCTTTCTATTATACTTATCTGTGTGCACACACATGCACACACACTTACACATAGAACAGCCTCTTTTCCACATCATAGCAGTGGATTTTTTTATGGTCACAACGTTCTTAGCACCCTTCCTACTTATAGGCCCCAAGACAGCTTCAGTATAGACCCTTCACAGAGGGTTTCTCCAGTCTTGGAAACTATTTTCAAGTGAGAAGATGACACCCTCTGTCATGATATAGGAGGTTAGCACACTGTCAGCCAGACAACTGGTCACATCATACCTTGTCTCGGTTTCATCTACTGAAACCACTGGTGAAACGTGGAGAATAAAGCCTTTCTTCTTGTTGCTTACCTTTTTTAGTGCAGATGCTGTGAACAATGTCATTTTTTATACTTTTTAAGGAATCGAAGTTCTGCCCAAAGTTAACCCTGTCTTCTTTCCCTGCTATTTGTAGCAGCTGCGTTTTGTTAGCTTCTCCAATGCCAATTGCATGAACAATAACTTGTTCAGCTTTTAGTCTTGCTGCAGGCTCCAGGACACTGTCCTTGGACTTCCCATCAGTCAGCACTATGAGGAAATAGAGAACTTCACTTGTCCTATCCTTTTTTCCTTCCTGTATGAGTGGCAGTATGAAATTCAGGGCTTTCCCAGTCAAGGTGCCACCTTGTAGTTGCCTGATGTTAAAAACGGCCTTTTTTAGGTCAATGGCATTATTATAGAGAGAGATAGCAAATTCCACTTCATTCTTATTTGCATACTGCACGACTCCAACTCGGACTTTGTTTGGACCAATGCTAAACATGCCGATTACTGCTGCCATGAACTCTTTGATTTCTTCAAACTGTTTTTTCTGGATGCTGCTTGAGCCATCAATGAGGAAATAGATATCAGCTTCCTTTGTATCCACACAGCCTGCAAAAGCATGGAAAGTAGAAAACGCATTTCTTGTTAATGAAAAATAATCCAGAGCGAACTTTATAAGAGGGTTTGTGCAAACACATGAGGCTGTGCACATAGTAAAGAACGGAGCCTCTCTATTTACACAGAGCTTGTACACTTCATCAGCAATCTTTACTACCATTTTCTCCTGTGAAATTTACAGCCATCTTCAGAGGAAACTGAAACACAGCAATAGATAGTGGTTTATCTAAGGTCACACAGGCTCAAAGTTAAATGGTTTTTCTAGTATTAACCCCTACTTTCTTAAACAGTTTATGACTTATAATTTATTGAGAAATGGCATGAAACTGATAACCTTCTTTTCATACCCCTCTAATAAACTCTTCTTTGCAAAGCAACTAAATATATTTAAAGCTAAATCATATTACTCTTCTAGTTAAATGATTTATCATTACATTTGAATTTAAAAATAAAAAATGGGCCTTGCCTTTCCTCTGACCCTATTTCCAACAATTCTTCCTTTCACTCACTGCTTTAACCATTTCTGGCTTCTTTTTGTCCTTTGGAGGTGCCCCAGGGCCTTTGTGTTTGTGCTCTTCTCTTCTTAGAATATTCTTACCTCCAAATAGTCCCACACCTAGTCCTTTCTCATTGCAGATAGGTCAAGTCAAACATCAGTTCTTTGAAAAGATCTTCATTTCTCTAGGTGAAGCACACCAGCCACTGTCTACTCTATTACCCTGTTTATTTTCTTTGCAGCACTTTCAGGAAAGACTATTCATTTGCTCATGAGAACTTCCTGTTTCTTACCACAGAATGTCAGCTCCATAAGCACAGAGACTTTGCCTAGTTCTGTGCTTCAGCCCAGTAGGTGTGGCACATCAAAGACCTCTTAGTATTCCTCCTTTTGTTAGGCTTAGTCTTTAAGAAAAGTACTTTCATTTTCGTTATAGTCTACTTATTTTCTAGGCAGTCATTCACTGAAACTGAGTAGGAGAAAATATATCTTCAAAATTTCAGTTATATATGCATTATCTGGTTGAGTATATGCTCTGATCTTTAAAATAAAAGATAATGTAGTCATTTCAGAATTATTTTCTTTTGTGGAAGCTTTTGAGCAATTTATGGCCACTGACACTCGGGTAGGTTTTGAGCAATTGCTCCTTATGAAATCAGAAATACTGGAAATGTTTGACTGTGAGACTTAAACTATGAATCGATATATAACATATTAGGGCAAAGATAAGCAGTCATCTGCAAAAAACAGGGTTGATCCCAAGCCTGTAAAACTTGACAATAGACAGAATGAATTGAGTTGTAATCTAACCCAGAAGAAACAAATGTCCACCAGAAGGAAAGCAGTGATTGTTAGCAGTGACAGAGAGAAAATGGGTTACAGTAGGTAACTATGACAACCCAACCCACCCAGTCCTCCCTGGACCTGTGCTAACACACCAGCCACTGGTCACACACTGCTGTGATAATGTAAATTTAAACTACTTACAATTAAATAAAATGAAAAGTCAACTATTCATCTGTACATTTCAAGTGCTTAACAGTTCCATGTGGTTGGTATCATATTGGACAATGGATAAAGAATATTTTCATTATTAAAAATTTTGCATTGACTGAATAAGAATGTGTCTCTTAGGACCAGGGATTTAGCTCAGTGGTGCCACTGCCTACACTTGATCCCCAGTAACAAAAAACAAAACAAAAAAAAAAGTGTCTCTTGGCTCAAAATCTCACCTATACAGCCATACACACACACACACACACACACACACACACACACACACACACACACACGAGAGAGAGAGAGAGAGAGAGAGAGCTACAGAGCTTTATATTCAATTTTAAAATAGAAATATCTGATAGCCAGGTATGGTGGCATACACCTAAGTGTGAAGCAGAAGGGTTCCAAATCCAAGCCCAGCCTAAGCAACTTAGCTACTTAGCAAGACCTTGTCAAAATCTTAAAAAGGAGGCTGGGGACATAGCTCAGTGTAATGGTCCTGGGTTCAATTCCCAGTATTACAAACAAACAAACAAACAAAAATACAGATATCTGCCCATGTGGGAGTCACTAGACATTTCAATCATATACAATAACTCTCTTTGATTCCATAAGCCCCAGCAGTCTTGATGACAATTTAGCTTCTAACTCGGCATGTCTAGGGGAGAGAATGTTCTTCTGAGAGACTACAATGTTCAGCCTTCCAGGCACTGAGAGTTCTCATTGTTACAAAGAAAATTGACATCCTTTTTTTTCCTACACATCAGTCTCTTGAATTTGGTGGTGCACATCTATAATCCCAGCAGTTGGGAGGCTGAGGCAAGAGAATCATCATGAGTTCAAGGCCATCCTGGTGAATTCAAACACTCTCCCAAAAAGGAAAGAAAAAACAAAAGAATTTAGTGAAACTAGAGTAGATTTACAAAGCATCTTAACTAGGATACCCTTCATTAGGGTGATGCAAAATAATTAGAAAGATGAAAATGGGAGGCCCGCCCCATAGCATGGGTAAGTGCACACAGATTCTGGGGAGCAGCGGTGTGGACCAGAGCAGCACGGCTGCAGGCAGATCCCAGCCAATGCTCCACCCCGACCCCAGAGGCTCAGGCACACAGGCCCAAGCCAAAGGCCTGCCCAGAAAAGAGCTGCACAGGCACACAAGCAGCCAGAGGTCCATAGCAATGGCAAGCGTGCACAGGGGAAATCATCATGGCTGTGGATAAAGATATAGAAATGAGAGTTTTATAAGAGCAACACATTGACAATAATCTATACGTGCAGAACTTATGTTGCACAAATTATGATAAATCCATACAACTCAATATTACTGCCAACCAAAACATACTGCAAAAGAATATTTAACGAAATATACAAAAGGTCACGACATAAGGTTGACAGAAAAGTGAGTAAAGTAGGTAATACTGATTTATCACCATTAGCCTTTCTTTCCTTCTATGCTAATTGATCCCAATTTTTACCTTGGTACTTGGCTGCCTCCAAAAAGACTGTATTTCCCTACTCCAATTTCGTATGTGTGACTGTGTTCTGTCCAAGGGGATGTGAACCAAAAGAGTGCATGTAACTTCTGGGATCATCCCTGAAGGAAGAAAGCAGGAGGCCTCCATTTCCTTCCCTTTCATCCCATGTACTTGCTAGATGTAGATATAATGCCTAGAGCAGTACTCTTGGACAAAATATTTTAAAAGAAGAAGAGAGAGACCAAGACACTGGGGTATATCACACCAGCTCAGTCGGCCTACCTGTGGACTTAGATGTAAAACAGCAAGAGTAATCTTATCCTGTTTCAAATCATTCTTGTTTTGATTTCTTCTTTAGTCACACCCAAAAGTAATTGCAACTAATATTAGTTGCCCAATTGTATATGATTATACTGTCAAACACAACAGACACTAGACACATGAGACTTTTAAAATGAATTAACTTTAAGTTACATTTAAAATTCAGTGCCTCTGTCACATTAGCCAAATTTCAAGTACTGAATAGCCACATGTGGCTGGTAGAGGCCTTATTGGACAATTTGGACAAAGAACCATTCCTATCATCACAGAACTGTCTGTTATCTAGTACTGATCTAGTCGATGTGACATGATTTTTAAAGCTGTGTGTGTGTCTGTGTGTGTGTCAGTAGACGTAGTGGAAAGAGAGAGAGGAAAAGGGGCCTAAAAGATAAGAGATGCATTAGTTTTATCTGAATATAGGAATACAGGTGGTTTTTGTTTTCTTCTGTATGTCTGCCCATACTATTGAAATATTTCATTATATTCATATATATAAAACATTTTATTGGGACGTGATTTACATGGTATACAATTGATCACTGTAAGTATATTGTTTGATAATGTTTAAAAGTTATCCAATTATCACCAAAATCAAGTTTTAAAACATTCCCACACAGGGCTGGGGATTTAGCTCAGTGGTTCGGTGGCCTGCCTTGCAAGCACAAGGACCCGAGTTCAATCCCTGGTACAAAAAAAAAAAAAAAAAAAAAA